TTGCTCTGTTGCCCAGGCTGGAGCGCAGTGGCGTGATCTCGGCTCATTGCAAGCTCCGCCTCCCGGATTCACGCCATTCTCCTACCTCAGCCTCCTGAGTAGCTGGGACTACAGGCACCCGCCACAGCACCTGGCTAATGGTTTTGTGTTTTTAGTAGAGACGGGGTTGCACCATGTTAGCCAGGATGGTCTCGATCTCCTGATCTCATGATCCACCCATCTTGGCCCTCAAAGTGCTGGGATTACAGGCGTGAGCCACTGCGCCTGGCCAATTTTTTTGTTTTTTCTTCTGAGAGGGAGTCTTGCTCTGTTGCCCAGGATGCAGTGCAGTAATGCGATCTCAGCTCACTGCAACCTCCGTCTCCTGGGTTCAAGTGATTCTCCTCCCTCAACCTCCTGAGTAGCTGCGATTCCAGGCATGTGCCACCAGGCCTGGCTAACTTTTGTATTTTTAGTAGAGACGGGGTTTCATCATATTGGCCAGGCTCATCTCGAACTCCTGACGTCAGGTGATCCACCTGCCTCGGCCTCCCAAAGTGCTGGGATTACAGGCGTGAGCCACTGTGCCCAGCCTATCCTTCTTTTATGAGATCTTAAAATATGAAAACTTTGTTTTTACATTCTAAAATAGAAATCTTAAAGTTTAAAAAACTTTTTGAGAACCCCAAAGAAAAATATTGCCATAGCCACAAAGATGTTTGATGTACTGTATTTCAAGGACGTGTGTGTATATGTATGTGCAAGTTTGTACATGTAGAAGAACTTTGCTGTCTGAGATGAATTGACATCCTGTCTTTCCCCTTCTTCCCTATCAATCCTTAAGGAAAAAGAAAAAAAAAAAAAAGAACTAGAAATAAATCTCTGAGAAGATAAAAACAGATGCCTGTGTTGAGTAGAAAGAGATTTTTGAGAGTGATTGATTTTATAAGTGGTCAGTTTGATAGTAAATATTTTCATGTTATGACACTTTTTACCTCCCTATAAAACCTCTTCACTGTGAAGACTAAAGTGAAGAATTATTGGGTCAAAGATCAGTTATATGAAATGTTTAAAAAATAATTTCTCCACTACTTTTTAATAGAATCTTATCTGCCTTTAAGATTTCTGTTCATCTGAAGATATTACCTGAGCTTCTGTCCTGTCTTAGCTCATAGGCAACAGCAGATTGCAGAGCTCATATTGTCACAGTCGTTTGTTACCCACCCTCTGTCTTTTTTATGACCAGGTATCATCTCCAGGCTCTCCGGCACCTCTATGTGCTGGCCGCGGAGCCCAGGCTTCTCGTGCCTGTGGATGTGGACACAAACACGCCCTGCTATGCCCTCTTAGAAGTTACCTACAAGGTATCTCTCCCTATCATTTACTTGTAATTTTATTACCACTCATCCATCTTTGCAGGTCATAATATTTCAAATGTGTTGTCCAGTAAAAGGTGACAAGTAGTCAGTTGAACTTTCATAAAAATGGAAGCTTCCAAAGTTATTGTATATCCTGCCAGGCCATTCATGCTTGTTTGTATTCTCTGGGTATCACTTTTTAGGGATCATCAGCTACTCTTTTGTCCTTAGAGCTTATAGTTTGAAAATGTCCCTGTTAACTTTACATGACTGACAGTAGTGTTCTATAAAACTAATTGAGTTAGACCCATTCTTAGATTTGTTAGCTGAATACTTGAAAACCCAAAATTGTGTATTTGATGACAGCTTTCATTTAGATGCACTAATAGATTACAAGTTTTATATCCTTCTTTCATTCAGCAAATTATTAAGTACCTTCTGTGAATCAGAACTGTACTAGGCTCTGGGGTGCAAAATGAGATGACATTGTCATTTTCCTTAAGGAACCTTTATCCCCTGGGGAGCCAGGCATGGATACAGTGAGAATAGAGTGTGATAATTGGAGATGTGTGTGGAATGCAGGGGAGGCAGCAAAGCACCCTTGCTTAGCTGTTAGCTGTGGGGTTGAGGGGCTGTCACAGCGGACGGTGTTTGGGCTAGGCCTGGCCCGCTGAGTGGAGCTCCTTCCGAACAGAGAAGGCAACATGCAGAAACCCAGCGCACTGGAGCATGGCCTTTGGTCCTGCTGACCTGTGGGGAGCAAGGCTTGAAGTGCTGGGAAGTGACACATACCCTGTGGGGAATTTCGACATCAGTCCTTCAAGATTTGAGTACCAGAGAGGATTTTATGGCATTTTAAGGTCTCTGTATGAACTGCAGGGTTGGAGGGAGGTAGAGTGTGGAGATGTTTCTTCTTTGTTGTTTCCACTGACTACCTAGTGAACTGTAGCTGGACTTTTACGTTTGTAAAGGGCACTCAGTGGTATGAACAAACGAAAGAAGAATTGATGGCTCCTACCCTGCTTCCAGAACTCCATCTTTTAAAGCAGGTAAGTTGGGCATGGTTGAGAGATGGGTCCAAGCGATCAATTCAGTAGAACAGCATAGCGTTAAAGACAGCTAAATAAAAGCCTCTGCTTTCTTCATGTATTGTAGCAGATAAGAAAGCTGCAGCAAAAGGAAAAGTCAGAAAGAACAGAGCAAGTCTTGTCTTAGAGATCTTTATTGATAGTTTAGGTGGCCTCAGAACATGATTTACATTCATTTTTTTGTCTGGAAATGGAGCTTGTTAACCTCCAGATGCCTCTTTCTGGCTGTTACTGTTTCCTCTGAGAAACATAGGGTCCAGTTTGTCAAATGAATATATTTTTCAGCTTTGGGTTGACTACGTTTACATTTATCTTGGCAGATTAAAGTTAAAGGCCCAAGATACTGGGAACTGCTCATAGATTTAAGCAAAGGAACACAACACTTGAAGTAAGTACATTAAATTTCTCTGATTTACCTTTTAGGAAGTGAATAGAAGTATATAGGAAGGTATAAATTATAAATTATTATCTGGAATGTGACTCATCACCCTTTAATCTCATTCAAGACAATATGTAGGGTATGTCTTCTGTAAAACAGTCTGTATTTTTGAAACAGGACTTGTGTTAGAAAATGAAAGTTTTGGCCGAGTGTGGTGGCTCACGCCTGTAATCCCAGCACTTTGGGAAGCCGACGCGGGCGGATCATGAGGTCAGGAGATCGAGACCATCCTGGCTAACACAGTGAAACCCCGTCTCTACTAAAAATACAAAAAATTAGTCGGATGTTGTGACTGGCACCTGTAGTCCCAGCTACTCGGGAGGCTGAGGCAGGAGAATGGCACAAACTCAGGAGGCGGAGCTTGCAGTGAGCCAATATTGCGCCACTGCACTGCAGCCTGGGTGACAAAGCGAGACTCCATCTCAGAAAAAAAGAAAGAAAATGAAAGTTTTAATTTTAAACTCCATCCCTAAATATTTATATTCATTTATTGAGAAACTTGCACTGACTTCCTTGTGACAGTAATGGACTTGTCTCTTGGTGTATTAACATAAGATTTAGTTTAAGAAAGTGTGTTAGTCCATTTTCACACTGCTATAAAGAACTACCTGAGATTGGATAATTTGTAAAGAAAAGTAGTTAAATTGACTCATAGTTTCGCCTGGCTGGGGAGGCCTCAGGAAACTTACAATTGTGGCAGAAGGCGAAGGAGAGGAAAGACAGTCTTGTATGGCAGCAAGAGAGAGTGAGAGAGGTGCTGCACTTTTAAACCATTAGATCTCGTGAAAACTCACTATCATGAGAACAGCATGAGGGAAATCCGCCCCCATGATCCAATCACCCCCAACCAGGTCCCTCCCATGACACGTGGGGATTACAGTTTGACATGAGATTTGGGTGGGGACACAGAGCCTAACCAGGTCAGAAAGTAAAGCTGATTTGTACATCCACAAAAGGAACTTTATTATATCAATCAGTGTTTGCCAGACAACATCTTTTGTTGCATCTCTTTACCATTCTTCTGTTAGAAAGGTCTCCTAAATTTAAGATTATTGTAGATAATATATACTACTCACCCAGTTTATTTTGGGTGGAAATAATCACATGCAATTATTTTAGAGTGTTGATAATTTTATACTGAAAGTAGCATGTCAATTAAGTCTTTAAATTTCAAGGAAGTTTAACAAGCATGTAAAAGTTTCTATAATTTGGTCCCAATGTGAGTTTTTCCAGACTATCTGTATATTAGCTGTTTTCTGTATTGTTCTGTCCTTAGATTTGCAGCATTATTTTCTTTTTGCTGCAAACCAATTAATAGATATTTAGTACCTCATGTACCCCAGACATAGAGCTAGGGGATATAGGGAATACAAAGAAATGTTAGGTAAAATGCTACCATTGAAACTCATAGTTGAGCCAGTAGTCAAAGTGACTTTTCATTTAACAAGTTCCATGAATCTAGACACCAGAGAAAAACAGAACTTTATTCTAGGCTTTCTCATAGGGACTGATTTAATCTTAGACACAGTAAATAATCATTTGCCTTAGTGGAAAATGGTAAAGGCTTCATCTCCCGTGAACATGGTATTAGAAGACACTATGTTTCCAGCCAAGAACTGCCAGTAATACCTTATATTAAATTCATTTATTTTTCTTTCAGGTCCATCCTTTCCAAGGATGGGGTTTTATATGTTAAACTCAGGGCAGGTCAGCTCTCCTACAAAGAAGATCCAATGGGATGGCAAAGTTTGTTGGCGCAGACTGTTGCTAACAGGAACTCTGAAGCCCGGGCTTTCAAGGTAGTATTATTAATTGGTAAAAACGGAAGGAAATAATTGTAAATTGCGGGCTTCCTTGCCCATTGCTGTAAACTTTAAAGGTGGATCTGCTTCCTTTTTCATTGTTGCGGATTGTAAACACTGCCTGCCCGTGACTCCGTTTGCTTTTTATGTGATGGGCATAATAAAATATAAATACAAAATACTCTATATAATAAATAATAAATATATATAATAAAGTAAAATACTCTAAGTTAAGATTTACATTCAGCAGCAAGGACAGTCGCACCATATCCTGACACTACAACAAATACTTTAGTAATTTTATTATTAATCCTCAAATCGGTGAAGATTTACTTAATTTCATAGCAAAAATAGAAAAGGAGTTTTGCAAGCTAGCAATTATGAGCTCCATTTAAAAACCACCATTTGTTTCCTTCATCTTGGTGAGGATAAACTGATGACAGACTCAGACTTCTTTTGTTAGTTTGCTTTATTATTTGCACAGTACTTGACTGCCAGTACAGTAGTGTTTGAAATAAGCAAATAGTTACGATAAATGAGGGTAGGAAACAATCTCATTCCCATGGCGGGGTCAGCACATATTTTGCTCGATATTCTTGACTCAGGTAAGTTTCCAACACTAGAAATTTGTCCCATAATCAGACATTAAGACTTCTGAATTTAACTTCAGTTTTCTGTAATTCCATGAGCAAATATGTCCCTGTTGGTGATACATAGTAGAGTAGTCTGAAGTAGTGAGAACCCTAAAGGATAATTAGACAGCACAAGTGGGGCAGGCGGACTGGATGAGTGGCAGCCAAGGACTGAGTTAGCATCCTTTGTTCTTCCAAGTATGGAGACAGCAGTTTATTTTAATTCAACTCATATTTCATTTTAGGTCAGTTACTCATGACCGAGCCTTTATAATGGTTCCCAGGATTGAAATGTATAAATAGTTCTCAGGGTTGACATTGGTGAATTTTGTTTGGCAGTATTCAGTAAGTTGTTTATGAAATATTTTTGAAAGATTTTTGCACACGGTTTAACTTAAATTTGTAGTATTGCTTCTTCTAAAAATCAGAGCATATCCCAAAGACTCTAACCCAATTTGTAAAGAAAATAGGTAACTTTAGACTTGAGTTCGAATGAAGAAAATATATAAAAATTAAAAGCTATCTCAATTTCCTGCCTACTGGAAGTTCAGAAATAAAATATAAACCTCAGTGGAAAATAGTAATACCTTCATATTTCATTTTCAGTCTTGAACCTTGAATGATACTGTTTTTTCCCAAGTTTAAAAAATTGTGGTAAAATGCACACAATTTATTGTCTTAACCTTTTGCAAGTTACAGTTCAGTAATATTAAGTGCATTCACATTGTTGCGCAACCATCACCACTGTCCGTCTCTAGAACTGTTTCATCTTGCAGACCTGCAATCTATACTTGTAACAATAACTCCTCATTCTACTTCCTCTAGTCCCTGGCAACCACCATTCTATTTTATGTCTCTGATTTTGATTATACTAAGTACCTTATATATATGGTTTCATACACTGTTTATCTTTTTGTGGCTGGCTTGAGTGATATTCTTTTTTCCTTACCATTTCAGTAACAATTCTAGTTTCTGGTAGGCTTTTTAGTCAGTGAAGGAAGGAAATGCCTTTTGTGGATGAGTTGTGTAAATAGGAAGACCTGTTTGTTTATTGGCCTTTTGATAATTAGTAGCTCATGTTAACTTGTGCAAAAGCTTATTGTAACTTCTTAGCAGAACAGGTTGATGAGGCAAGTTTGCACCATCTGGGTTTTTTTGGGAATGTTGTGTGACAAAGGGGAGGTAGGGTTGTTAGAACTGCATGTATTACAGTTCTAACAGTAAGGAAAGTACTCTTTTTTTAATCTTATACTGTTGTGGTTGTTTGTTTTTTTTAGCCAGAAACAATCTCAGCATTCACTTCTGATCCAGCACTTCTGTCATTTGCTGACTATTTCTGCAAACCAACTGTGAACATGGGTCAGGTATATATTCTATGGTTTGCTGAGCCCCAGGACCAGCATTCGTTAGTATGTCTATGTATGGGTCACCCAAAACATCTGTACTATCTATATCTATCTTTGAGATTGATGACATACGTGAGTCACATGGGATGACTTTTGCTTGGCACGTGTAGATTTGCATAGCCTAAAACTATTACATTTAGCAACTTTCTATCTTGATAGAAGAAACAACATTTGTAAGACATTAATTTTGACAGATGATAGTTTCTGTCACCTACAAGAATGATGCCCATTCATATTCTGCTTTGTTTTCAGTGTTTACTGCCTTTCTCTTATTTTTATGTAATTGCATTAACTGTTTCATCTGTATATTATAACGCTTCTTTTTCTTGTTTATACACCTGTTGCCTTCAAGATTCCAAGGGTGCTTAGCAGATTTTTCTTTATTTTTTTGGTTTTTGTTTTTTGAGATAGGGCCGGTTTTTTCTGTTGCCCAGGCTGGAGTGCAGTGACGTGATCATGGTTCACTACATCCTTGACCTCCCGGACTGAAGCCATCCTTCCACCTCAGGCTTCTGAGTAGCTGGACTACAGGCGTGTAGCCACCATGGCTAATTTTTTTTAAAATTTTTGTAGAGATGGAGTCTCACTATATTGCCCAGGTTGGTCTTGAACTCCTGGGCTCAAATGATCCTCCCACCTTGGACTCCCAAAGTGCTGGGATTATAGACTTGAGCCACTGTGCCTGACCCAGATCTTTGGTTTAATCCACCATACAGAAAAGGAAAGATTGGGTACAGAATTAGATATCTAGGATTGATAGCCTATTGTCTACAAGTGTATATGGCCTTCAGAAAATTTCTCAACCTCTCCAAAATGTAGTTTCCTCATTTCTAAAAGTGATTATAATAGAATCTACCTTACAGTATTGTTTTGAGGATTAAGTGAAATAACCTTCCCCTGTCTTACTTATTGAATCTTTACTATATACTGGATACTCTGCTAATACTTAAATGTCATTTAATTATGACCCTGAGGATAGGTATTTTATCATTCTGGGCTTACAGATGAGGAAACTGCCACTGAGAGATGTTACATGCCCAAGATCACACAGCTAGTAAGAGCTGGGCTGTGCACTCAAGGTCACGGGTCTCTAATAAAGCCCATGCCTGCCCTTAACCCCAGCTGGACTTGACTCTGCTGCCTCCCCTAAACTTTTTCTGGTCAGTGTTTTTTCCTTGCAGCTTTGTTACTCTGTTTCCTTTCTGGATCCTACTCTTCCCAGCCCAACCCAAGGCATAGTTCTGTGATGTCCTATCTACTCATTTTATCCTAGTTTGGTCCATTCCTCTCTTCTGTAGCACTTACTATCCTTAACTGTCTCTTGGGACTTAATTTTTTAAATTGTTTAATGTTACATGTGCTATGGCTTTTTAAAAAGATTATAATGTTACTTTTATGTGATTCATTATAGAACTTAAGAATGGGCCATAGTAGTACTATACAATTGGTTTTTGAATTGATTTTGGAATATACTTTGTGCTACAAAAAGCTTCTGATTTTCTGCAGAAACAGGAAATTCTGGATCTCTTTTCTTCAGTACTCTATGAATGTGTTACCCAGGAGACCCCAGAGATGTTGCCTGCATACATAGCAATGGATCAGGTATGGATCCAAAAACTTATACCGATTCTGGTGAAATTTGTCCTGTCGTTCAAGTAACTTACTGAATAGTGTGGTAAGATTCCTAGTGTCCTTCCTTTTAGTTTCCCATTTGCTTTTGGAAATTTAAGAAAGGAAACCATATAAAATTTGAAAGCTCTCAAAATTCCAAAAAGCTTGGGCTTTGTGTTGACAGGAGTGCCCCTTGGGAAGCTGTCTTCCTCTAAGGGTTCCCCTTCCTCCCTTTTATCTCCCCTGACTGAGAGAAGAGGAGAGCACTCCCTCCCTCTCTCCCATTTTATTTTTGCCTTCCTCCTTGCACTGCCTCTTTGTAGAAGTCTGCATGTGAGCAGTTAGTGGACAAACAGAGCCCTAGCGATGGCAGTACTATGAAATTAGACCTATGTGATGAAGCTTGCAAGAGGTTACAGAGTAGATATGTAGTTATCTAGGGCGTTGGAGTTCATTTTTAAATTTCTCTTGTTATTGATGTTTTAAAAGAGCCTAAAGGGGTAATGCAGAAAGTGATGCTTAATACTGTTCTTAAAGGATCAGACCAATTTATTCACTTCAGGCAAATTAGTAATACATATGCCTTTTCATTATTATCATATCTTTCAGACCCAGATTTGCAGTTAAGCCAAGCCAGTAGTTTTCTAATCTGGCAAAAATTTGCCTTGGCATCTTAAAAATACAGATCCTCTAATTCCATGCCTCATCTATTGAATCAGAATTTCTGGGGTGAGATCCAGAATCTAGTTTTAAACAACTGTTTAAGTGAATATAATAAGGTCACAGCTGAGCATCTGAGACTCAGTGTCTAAGAGAAATTACCTTTAATGGTGAAATAATTTGCTAGAAAGCTGAATAGAGAAACATACTTAGTCAGAGGATAATTTCCCCCAAACCAGAAAACACACCATGTTAAGTAACATTGTTAATTGAAAGTCAAGTTCCAGTATAACTAAATAGGCCCAGAATGCTATTATTGTCTGGAATCCACCCTTTTTTGGTTGGAAAATATGGATATATGGCATCCACGCTGGCACTGCTTCTCACAGTACTTCTCTGTACAGCAGCCAAATAACAAGTTGTGTTTTGAAGTTGCTGGCTGAGAATGTGTCTTTTTACCCTCTGAACCCTCACGCCTTCGCAGTCATGGGTGGCAGGTCTTTATGCATGAATATCTCCTCTGGTTGCAGCTGTAGTGACTTGCAGATGGATCCCAAGGGCACTATTATTAGTAGTGTTCCTTTGCCCTCTGCCCCCCTGGATCCCTGCCATGTCATTGTACCCGGCTTGAGTTTTCCAGAGGTGACTGGCTGTGACCTTTTGGGTCTTGGTTATTCGGAGCTGTTGAGCCAAGAATGAGCTCATTCACCTTTGTTACTTTTCCCTGCAAGCTGCTCATGTAGGGCCATATTGAAGGAGGCGAGCCGTGCACCTGTACCCAGTGACGGCTCCTCTGTGGGCAGACCGCCTCAAAACACAGAATGGATCCCCCACCACCCTTTATAATTAGGAGCCACGTTTAAAGAATACGCAGTCTACAACTCTGATGAAGAGGCAGAGAACTCTTTGATTAAATGGATTGTTGTCCTCTTTCCTCTTCAAGGCTATAAGAAGACTTGGGAGAAGAGAAATGTCTGAGACTTCTGAACTTTGGCAGATAAAGTTAGTGTTAGAGTTTTTCAGCTCCCGAAGCCATCAGGAGCGGCTGCAGAACCACCCTAAGCGGGGGCTCTTTATGAACTCGGAATTCCTCCCTGTTGTGAAGTGCACCATCGATAATACCCTGGACCAGTGGCTACAAGGTAATAGTAGCATCGTAGCATGGCTCTCCTGTGCTTTTGAGATACATTCAGTTCAGGCTTTTCTGTTGTCACTTTTGTTTTCGTTGGTAAGCAAGATAAATCTGAGTATAAGCAAGAATGGCTATAGATTTAATGTTTCCAGCTAGATGAATTAGGCTTTGATTATCTGCTTCAGCTTCTTTGGAAAAATGCATCTGACCCAGGCAGAGAATATTTATAGCATTTTAAATACCACTTGGTGCTCAGGACCTTGTTCTCTCTTCCCTAGCATCAGATCACATTTCCTTTCCGGTGCCTCTGTCTCCTGTTTCCTAGGTGTGTGGCCTGTCGCCTACCTGAGGCCAGCAGCCATCCCGTTTTTGTACTGGCACCCCAGGTACATGTAGAACTTGACGTGTGCTTGCTGAGTGAGCTTGTTGTACCAACTCAGTTTTGAAAACCTGGGACAGCACAGCTATGTGATGTCACAGTGGTGGCTTTCTATCAGCAGGATTTGTGATTGCAAGGAAATTGTTGTTACTCGTTAACAGTGTAGAAGTGATTCTGACTTACATGAGGCAAGTGATGGGGCCTTTAGATTTTCGGAAATGTATCTTATGTGTTAAATACACCTGAAACTGATTTTCAGGAGTAAACTTCTTGATCTTTTCATTCTTTTTAGTTCATCCAAATGCTCCCAGTAGATATCTGACAGTTGCTTGCTTTGGGTTAATACTAACCTTAGTAATAGTAGTAGAAACAATTCTTGCTTTGATTAGTGAAAGCTATTAGTAATCAACAGACACTAAGTGTTTGAATATAATTCAGTTTATCTGCCTGTAACACTAGGAAATAAACTTCTGAAAAAAATTAAATTGTAAACCAGGTTGTGAGGGATATACTTGGAAAGCCTAATTTCAGACTCTCCATGTTTATATTTAACAGCTGCATTCTATTTGTCATTTCCTGTTCAGATTCAAAGATCATATGGCTTCAAAATTTTTTTGGTAGTCAATTTTATCCTCACTTTTGGGGAAAAACATGTTATTTCATAGGTTTTAGTGTTTCGTTTTTATTCAGTTTAACATTTGATCACCTATAGCAGACCTTTGCTATTGATAAAAAATACTTCCTTAAATCTTTGCAGATTCCCTGATTTGCACATTTCATATAATGTATGGAACTTTGGCAGTGACTAGAACATACTCTAAAACAGGGCCCTGATTGTCTTGTTGCTCTTTAGTGCATTTGGTGGTTTCCAGTATTGCTGTGAGCCTCCATTGAATTTGACTTGCCACTCAGATTTATCAAAAATGTGTTTATTTTCTAGTGAAAAACTAGAATTTTTTTTTAAAAAACCTCTTAGATATATGGTCTCCTCTCTTACAAGCGCTAGCAGTGGCATTAGGGTAGAGAACAATAAATTAAGTGAAAATTGGAAATTGCATTCATATTTGTGTGTGAGTAAAAATCACAGATGCATATGTGGACTTTCAGGGTCATTCACTAATAACTCATTAGATCTGAGATAACCCATGAAATCACTACACTAATCTGAAAATGCAGCCAATTGATATTACATAAATGTCAGTTTTTTGTTTTGATATGGAGTCTTCCTCTGTCGCCAGGGTGGAGTGCAGTGGCGCGATCTCAGCTCACTGCACGCTCCGCCTCCCAGGTTCAAGCGAGCGTCCTGCCTCAGCCTCCTGAGTAGCTGGGATTACAGGCGCCTGTCACCACACCTGGCTAATTTTTGTATTTTTAGTAGAGATGGGGCTTCACCAAGTTGGTCAGGCTGGTCTCAAACTCCTGACCTTGTGATCCATGTGCCTTGGCCTCCCAAAGTGCTCGGATTACAGGCGTGAGCCATGGCACCTGGCCTATATAAATGTTTTGTACAGTATTTATCTCCTCAAATTACAGTCTTGGGTAAAGAAAGCGGGTTTCAAGTTTAAAAACTTTAAATAAAGTTTTATTAACTTTTTCATATTTTGTTATGGAAATTTAAAGAATATACAAAGTAAGTAGACTAGTGTAATAAACCTCAACACCAATTTTAGTAGTTGCCAGCATTCTCCTGTTTTTGCATCATCTGTACCTTCACCCACTGCCACACTCAGTTTTCCCAGTTGTGCCATTTTACTTTCCCACCAGCAGTGGAATGCAATGCAATTTTTGGTATTGTCCTTTTTTTTTTTTTTTTAAGACTTGTCAAGTGCAGTAGGAAAGCAAAATAAACCCAAAGCAAGCAAGTAAAAGCAGAAACCAACGAAACCAAAAACAGAAAAACAATAGAGAAAATCAGTGAAACAAAATGCTTGTAGTCATGAGAAAGTCATTGAAGAGAGGCTGAACCATGATGCTCTCCTTCATGATGAGCTGCTCAGAGAAGAATCTCATCTGTTCTCCTTTGATCTCTCTCCCTCTGCTGCCTCCCCCAAACCTAAACGTTTCCCCCTCCCGGTAGACTGACATCCTCGTAACTGTGTTCAGTGGAGTCTACAGTTTTCATCTCACTCCATCTCTACAACGGTGAGGCTTTTAGCTACATTTTGCTTCTTGAGATGGGCCTCCCTTGACTTTGTCACAGCACACTTTCCCGATTTTTAAAAAAATCTTATTTTGAAATTCTTTCTCAGTATTTGTCACCGTTTCACTGTCATTCCTTTGTTGACCCTTTTGGAAGTCATCCTTGCTCCTTTCCCTCCTTCCCTTCTCCCCTCCTCTGCCATGACTGACCCATTGCTGAAGCCCTCAATCCTCATCATAGATATTTCTTGAATTTGTCTACATTTTACTACTTCTGCCTAGAACAGAATGATTATTTTGTGCCTGGACCACTGTTATAGCCTCCTAAATAGCCTCCTTGCTTTTTCTCATCTCCATTCTAATCATCTCAAGTTAACTGACAGAACAGTCTTTTAAAGAATGAACTGATCTAACACTCCTGCTTAAAGCTTTTCAAAGGCTCCTGATTCAGCTGTGAAAGAAATCCCTACTGTGTGGCACCAGGACCTGTGTGACCTGCAAGGCACCTGTTTTCCTCAACAAAGCCTCTTTTACACAACTTGCTCCTCACACCACCCTGGCCCCTTCCACTTCCTCAAAAACACTGAGCTCCTTTTCGCTGTGGGGCCATTGAATATGCTGTTTTCCCTCCCTAGAAGCTTTTCCTCTCATTCTTCACCTGTCCAACTCATATTTATCCTTGCAGCCTCAGTTTTAATGACCTTGCCTCCCAGGCCTTCCAAGACCACTCTACCTCAGGCAGCTTTCCTGCCATCTATTGCCTGCCCGCTCATGCTCTCAACTTTTTTTCTGCATCTAAATGCCTTTGTTTGCAAGTAACAGAAGACCTGTCTTTAAACGGTAAGGACACAAATATGCTTATGTTATTAGAAGTCCACAGGTAGGGCATGTAAAGGGTCATCTTATTCCATTGTCTTCAACTCCGTTTCTCTGAGGTTCCCTCAGCTACATTCTGTGCCATGACTTTATCCTCAGTGCTTTTTTTGGATGGTAATCAAATGGCTATAACATGTTCACCTCTAGCTCAGCATGATGCCCAGAGGAAGAATAAGAGTTGCTTCTAGGAGCTTTGTGATGAGAATGAGGGGATTTCTTTCCCTGCAGCCTCCAGCAAGCATGTCATTAAGTACCTCCTCAGGTTTCTGGCTCGAGTTGCATCTCATGCACACCCTCAGTCTATCCCTGTGGCAGAGACTGTCTCTTATTGAAAAAATGGCCTGGGTCTGCCTGTCTCTGAACTAACACTGTATCAGGGGAATGGGATTGCCTTGATCACCCAAGACCAGTGATTCTCAAAGTGTGGTTCGTGGAGCAGCATGACCTGGGAACTTGTTAGAAATGGAGTTTTTCTGGCCCTACCGCAGACCTACTGAATCAGAAACTCTGTGCTCTGTGCTCTGTGTGGGGAGTGGGGCCCACTCATCTGTGATTTAACAAGCCCTCCAGGGGACTGTGATACATGGGAAAGCTTGAGAACCTCTGGCCAAGACTAATAAGGATCTAGTTCTGGAGCTGAAGTCTGTCCCATCAAATATTCTAATACATGGTGGAGGGTGGGGTGTGACAAGGGGTATTTTGGAGAGACAACCACAGTGACCACTGCACCTTTATAGCACTCTCACAGTTCGTAATTATGCATTCGTTTGTGTCATTATTTGTGTAATATCTGTCTTCCCCAACAACACTCTAAACTCTACAATGACAGGGACTCAGTCTAGCTTGTCACCGTAGCCTCAGTACCAGCTGTAGAACCTGCTTACAAGTTCTTGATGAAAAAGTAATAGAAAGAAGATATTTCTTGTGCCTCTCAGTTCTGTCATCAGTTGGTTCAGTTCCATTTGTTTCTCTCACAGCCGGGGGTGATATGTGTGTGCACGCCTACCTCAGCGGGCAGCCCTTGGAGGAATCGCAGCTGAGCATGCTGGCCTGCTTCCTCGTCTACCACTCTGTGCCAGCTCCACGGCACCTGCCGCCTATAGGACTAGAAGGTAATCGCATATCTGAGTCCTCTCTTCGGTACCTCTGTTACCTACCCCTTTATGTTCTAGTTTCTTGGTAGGAAGAGTTTCTAATTAGTTATTGTCCCTAGTTTGACTTTCCTCTTCATTAATGTTGCAGTGTCATTGCTAGGAACTGTTTTGGAGCAAAAAAGAAAAAAATTATCAACTTTTTACATGAATAACTTTCATTTTTATTCAGAAAAGGATGGATTCTTCTTCACAGAGCCCCAAACACTGGTCTAAAAATTTTTTTTAGTATATACTAAAATATATACAAAAAATTTTTTTTTGAGAAAGGCAGAGATTGTTCCATTTAATCATTTAAACTTGAAGTTTAATTACATTACTAGTTTTTTTGCTGTTTTGAAAGCCTCTGATAAAAGTTTACTATCTAGGGACTTCTAGTTATGGCCATGATGGAATTGCTTGTATTGGACTCACTTGCCCTCCAAAACAAGTATAAAAGCTAAAAAACCAAAAACCAAAAAACAAGAAACAAAAACATAAGAAAAGGGAAGTACAACAGGGAGAGCTTTCTGTTCACTCTAGCTTCTCCCCCAAAGGCATTTGTCAGTTCATAGCACAAGAAGTAGAGTCCCAGCAAAAGGCAGCAGTGCTGCAGGGCTGAGGAGCCAGAGGCTGGGTTTGTGATTGTCCAAGAGCCTAGAATTTGAGGAACAAAATCGCAGGCAGGAGAGAACAATAGGAATCATAACTCAAAATCTGGATGTACCTTTCCCTTGAGTTACTTATGACATTTTAGCCTTCATATATATGGGATAAGACTTCAAGAGATCTAGCAGAAGCCACAAGGCCAAAAATGTAAGCAAAAGTGTCCGCAGCAGCATAGGACCGAGGAGACAAAGGGTGGAATTCAAGACTTGTTGAAGTGAAGTGGCTCTGATCAGCATCCCAGCTCCTCAGGTGAATTAATAGGTTGGCCAGGCCCTAAGCCTGCTCTAGCCTATGTTTAGACCTGGTCTGCTTCAGTTTCACTCCAAGCAGACTAGACCTACAATTAGCCTTGAGCAGAACTGAGGTGATCTGCATGCTTTGTCCCCACCTAGCAGAAGAAAACGTAACCTTCATAGGAGAAAGAAAACATACCCAGAGCCTCTGCAATTTCTGGTCTACAGGATTCAGTGTTGAATAAAAAATTACGAGACATAATAAGAAAAAAAAAAAAACAACAGATAATAATAAAAACAGACCTATGTGTGATTTAGATATTGGAGTTATCATACTGGGAGTTAAAATAACTATGACTAATATTTCCAGGAAAATAGAGAGAAGGATGGGAGTTTCACCAGAAACCTGGAATCAATAAAAAAGAGTTAAATGGAAAGTCTAGAACTGAAAAATGTAATAACTGAAATGAAGATCTCAGTGTTGGATTATTTGAAGTGAACTGGAAGACACTTATCTGCTGGAAGATGAGTAGAAAGTAAACAGACTGAAGCACAGGGGGGAGAATGGGTAGGAAATACAGAGAAGAGTACAAGAGATGTGTGGAAACCGTGGAAAAAAAAATCAAACTTGTATGGAGTTGGAATAAGAGAATAAGAGCAGAGAGAGAAAATGAGTTAGAAGCAATATTTGAAGAGACAGAAGCTAAGAATTTTGAAAAATGGTGTTAAATATTAACCCACAGTGAACCCTAAGCAGGATGAATACAAAGAAAACCATACCTAGTCACATTAATCGTCAAACTGCTAAAAGTGAAAGGAAGACATTTTAAAGCATAGACTTTCTTTTCAGGCCAGGATGGACAAACAGGGTTGTTCAGTGGTCAACTGCATTAGAACCAGTAAAATACCACTTAGATAGTAATTGAAGGTAGACAGGCACTTTTGCTCATTATATTTAAAGAATTTTATATATATATATACTTAAACAATATTAGTAGTTTCACATATAGGTCACTTTCTGAAGTCTAGAATGGGTAAATTCTATCAAATCATATTCAGGTTGAGTATCCTTAATCTGAAATCTGAAGTGTTTGAAATTGAAAACATTTTGGGCGCCAACATCATGCTCAGAGGAAATGCTCATTCCAGCATTTCGGATTTGGGATTTTCAGATTAAGAATGCTCAGCTGGCCGGGCGCGGTGGCTCAAGCCTGTAATCCCAGCACTTTGGGAGGCCGAGACGGGTGGATCACGAGGTCAGGAGATCGAGACCATCCTGGCTAACCCGGTGAAACCCCGTCTCTACTAAAAAACACAAAAAACTAGCCGGGCGAGGTGGTGTGAGGCAGGAGAATGGCGGGAACCCGGGAGGCGGAGCTTGCAGTGAGCTGAGATCCGGCCACTGCACTCCAGTCTGGGTGACAGAGCGAGACTCCATCTCAAAAAAAAAAAAAAGAAGAATGCTCAGCTGGTAGGTGTAATGCAGATATTCCAAAATCCAAAAAAATCCAGAATCCAAAACACCTCTCTTCCCAAGCATTTTGGAAAAGGGATACTCAACTTACATTACAGTGTATTAGGGAATTTCATGATTTTAAATATTGTCTTTGGATAATCATTTTCAAAGGGAAAAATGCCTGTTTTCAACGTGACTGTGTTTCTGAAGCTTCCTTGAAAGGAGAGGTACGGCTGAATTTATTTAGAGATGTGACCTTCCCACCCCATTTCCGTTTTAGGGAGCACGAGCTTTGCTGAACTGCTCTTCAAATTTAAGCAGCTAAAAATGCCAGTGCGAGCTTTGCTGAGATTGGCTCCTTTGCTTCTTGGAAATCCACAGCCAATGGTGATGTGACCGTGTCTGGTGGTGAACCTACCCTGAGACGTGACTTCTACACAAAAACGTGACCAAACATCAAAGCTAAAGCAATGTTTATAAAGTTTTATGGTATAACTAGGGGGAAGTCAGCTGCACAAACCTCAGTGTATTTTAAATCTGTTGCTGCGGTCTTTAACATTATATGATACGTAAAAGCAAGTTACAATTTACTTTTGTAAATAAAGTTTTTGATTTGTTTTCAAAACTCTCGATGATTGCTTTAGTTTTGGACTTAGAAAATAGAGCAGTGGGTGCTGGAGTGAATATTGATTTTTAAAGTCTTTGAACTGTGGTGGTACAGGTGAAGTGACTATGTTCAAAAACGCAGTTTTAAAAGAAGCCATATCATAAAGTTTTACTTTCTGTGGCAAAAGAGCGTGTTAGCATTTCCTCAGATGTCGCAGTTGTCCCATCTAAAATAAGTTTGTACTTCTGGTGACAATGCCAGACATTCTCATGATGTGATCACCTTAAGCAGGAGAAGGAGATTTTTGCCCTCAGTTGCTCAACATGAAGTACTATGGACTGAATTGTGTCCTCTCAGAATTGTATATTGAGGCCCTAACCCCTGTGTGGCTGTATTTGGCAATGGGGCATTTAGGAGATTACTAAGGTTAAATGAGGTCATCATAAGGGTGGGGTCTTAATTCAATAGAATTGGTGGTCTCCTAAGCAGAGGAAGAGAGATTTTTCTTTCTCTCTCTGCCACGTGAAGATGCAGTGAGAAGTCGGCCATTCTGCAAGCCAAGAAGAGCCCTTACCAGGAACAGACTTGGCTAGCACCTCGATCGTGGACCTCCAGCCTCCAGAATTGCAAGAAATACATTTGCCCTGTTGAAACCACCCAGTCTAAAAAAAAAAAAAAAAAAAAGGCCGGGCGCGGTGGCTCAAGCCTGTAATCCCAGCACTTTGGGAGGTCGAGACGGGCGGATCACGAGGTCAGGAGATCAAGACCATCCTGGCTAACACGGTGAAACCCCATCTCTACTAAAAAATACAAAAATCTACCTGGGCGAGGTGGCGGGCGCCTGTAGTCCCATCTACTCGGGAGGCTGAGGCAGGAGAATGGCGTAAACCTGGGAGGCGGAGCTTGCAGTGAGCTGAGATCTGGCCACTGCACTCCAGCCTGGGCAACAGAGCAAGACTCCGTCTCAAAAAAAAAAAAAGAAACCACCCAGTCTGTGGTGTTTTGTTATGGCAGCCTAGGCAGACTAATACATGAAACCTGCTCTAAATAGATAAAATAAGAAATTACTACAGAGGGCTCTTTAGAAATTGTATTTAAAAACAAAACAATCCATATTTACCCAAGATTTACAGAATGTACGTCTGTACACGGGAGGGATTTCTGGACTAGTGGATGATGAAAAATGTTCGTATAAAGGCACCTCCAGCTTCGAGTTGCCAACACAGGAGGAAGAATGCTCTCTGTTGTTCAGATGCTGATGTGTGTCCTGTGCTTCCTGGACGGCCAGTGGGATCATAAGCTGGTAGAAGCAAGATCTTCATCCACTGACTTCATATTTCTTCCACATCCTGAGCTGTGTTGTCTGACTTTAAAAATAAATTAAAGCAAATAGAAATGTTTCCATTGAGAGTTTGGCAAAACCCCACGTGGCATTTGTCTCTGCGGGCTAGACTCGGAAGGCATGCTCCTGGAGGCCCAGCGGTTTTCTCTGGCCTCTCCGTATCCTCCCATTGGCGTGCCTGCCCCAAGGACTCGCTTATTCCCGGATGTGAAGCGGAGGCACGAAGGGGCTGACTGAGAGGCTGAAATGTGCTTCTCTTCACACTTACATAGTTTTCTTCTAATTAAAAATAAATTTTAAGTGGTAGATGATGAAAATTCCTTTTGAATCAAGATTTTAAAAATTCAATATCAAACCAATTGTTACTGCCTTCACTCTCCATTGTTTACGACTATGTGCTTTTCCCTGAATAAAGAATGACTGGAGAGACATCTAGTTGTTTGCACACATATTAACTCATACTTAAGGGAGAACAGCTTTTAGAACATTGTCGACGAAAGCAAGTATCAGCTTTAAAAGAGAGAGGACAGAAAGACTGCAGATGGTCTGGAAGCAGCATTTTTAGGCCGTCTGAGTAGCTGGGAAGTCAGCCCTTGAGTAGGCCTGCTGGATCATCAGATAAATCCATTTCAGCTATTTCTGGACCCTCAAAATATCCTGAGGGTATGGCTCTCACCATCCAGAACCTGCAGCCTCCTTAGAGCCATGGCTGTGAGGGAAGAGCTGCAGAAAAACATTTGGCTGTTAAGTGTTTTGGCCCAGAAACAGCACAAATCATTTCCTGTTAAAGCCTGTTGGCCGGAAGTAGTCACACTGCTGTACTTCATGTGCCCAGGACTGGGAGGAGAGGCACATGCTGGTGAGGATGTTATGCCAGTGACAGCATGGTTCCTCACTTACTAATTCCCTGTGGCCATCTTTTCTACTTAGATAGATAGAAATAGGTATCACTGCCTTCCATAGACAAAATTAAAGAAACCATACAATTTACACATACACTCAGAGCGCTTGTTCTTTCCCCAGTAGACACTGACGTCTGTGCTCCTCCCTTGTGGGTCTTCTGAAGGACCTAGCAGGAGACCCAGGTTGAAACCCTACAGAACCTTGCCATGTGCTGCCCAGTCTGCCTTGAATAAGGCCATTTTCTCACCCTCTGTCTAGTAACTAGCTGACTCCACAGCTCATGGTGAGGGGCATGTCTCAGCTCAGGGGGTCCCCTGACATCCCAGCGGAAGCAAGAAGGTGGGGGTCTTTCACCTCTCAGCCTGATGATCTGTGCACACCCACTCGGTGGGAGGCCAGGGTGCCTGTGGGCAGATGGATCAGAGTGTGGGCCAGGATTTGGAGTAGAAGCCAGAGCATATGAAAGTCCAAACCAGGAAGACTTTGTTGCCTCCCCCATGTGGGGTTGAAGGCCTCTCTTCTGAGGTCCCCCATCCTCATGCTGACCAAATTTGGGGGGAAATGTCTCACTGTGTGAGGATCATGCCAATTAAGCTGTAGGGGAGGACACAGGATCTGATCCCCTCTGTATCCTTAGCGCATGCTATCTCCAGCCAGCAGGGGAAGGAAGCAGAGGTGAGGTGGGAGAGGTGGCCACTCTGGACAGTGTACCTGGGCTGGCTGCCTCTCAGCGCCCACGAGCACCCCACAGATATCCACGCCAGTGTACAAAGTTTCCCAAGTGGTGGCCTTTTCCTGCTTCCAAGAGCTGCCCAGGTTCCCCCCTCTCTGAAATAACATTGGTTGCTTCTCATTACGTCACAAGCTGCAGAAAAAAAAATTGAAATAAAAACCCTCTACAACTGTATCCTTAACTCTTACCTGTGGATAAGGATAGACTTGCCTGCCCAACATTCTCTGTCTTATGTCTTTGGGTGAAAGGGAAGCTGGAATGGGCAGGAGGGGCTGCTCAGGGCAGTCAGGACCTTCAGGTTTCAGGCAGGGAGACCCACTGATCAGACACTTGCATCAAATGTCAGTGCTGACAGATCCCTTAGATGGCACCGGTCCTGCCCCTCCTCGAGTGAGATCCCTGTGGCTCAGGGAGGGAGGTTGACTGCCCCAAAGCGCCCTTCACAACTGTGATGAAGCTGGCTTTCAACCATGCTTCCTATACCCCACCCTGAACCTGGTCCAGTACTGCCTGCATTTCCAGTCCAACAGACTCTTAGGAGGAAGCAACGATTAAATGTAAGTGAAAAGGACTTGGCACCAGGAAGAGTTTATGAACACATTTCAAAAGCAGACATACTCTTCTTTACACCTTTGGAAAAACAAAGGCTTTGTGTATCTTGGAATTTGATTAACTGAATTAATCTGTGTGTTGCTTTCTTGGTCACATAACAAGCACCTTGATTTAAATTTTTTTTTCTCATAGCTAAAAAGATTTCTTCCTAATTCGTATGGTACATTATTATAATATGAAATCTTAAAATAAGTTATTGATTGATTGAGACAGTCTCCTTCTGTTGCCCAGGCTAGAGTCAGTGACATGACCATAACTCATTCCAGCTCACTGCAGGCTCAACTTTCTGGGTTCAAGCAATCCTCCAGCCTCAGCCTCCTGAGTGAATGGGACTGCAGGTGCATACCACCACACTCAGCTAAATTTTAAAAATTTCTGTAGAGATGAAGTATTGCTATGGTGCCGTCTGGTCTCAGACTCCTGGCCTCAAGTGATCCTCCTGCCTCAGCCTCCCAAAGTGCTGGGATTACAGGTATGAGCCACTGCACCCAGCCTAAAATAAAAATTTTATACCAAATTCAATACAATTTATAAATAACTGGAAAGTCTTAATTCTCAGTGCTTGCCTTGTCTCTGTAGTTAAGGGATCTGTCACACTCAGGCACTCTTCCTTGTGACGCTGTAGGCCATGTGCTTCAAGAACTCAGGCGCACCAGCTTGTGATCCACATGGTTACATCATTAGGGGAGCTTAACATAGGGTGGAGGTTGGAAGTCACTCGGGTTTCTTTCATTTGTCTTATGTTCACTTTTGTGCGTATCAAGAATATTTTAGGCCAGGCATGGTGGCTCACGCCTGTAATCCCAGCACTTTGGAAGGCCAAGGCGGGCGGATCACCTGAGATCAGGAGTTTGAGACCAGCCTGGCCAACATGGTGAAACCCCATCCCTACTAAAAAAAAAAAAATTAGCCAGGTGTGGCGGCAAATGCCTGTAATCTCAGCTACTCGGGAGGCTAAGGCAGCAGAATCTTGAACCAGGGAGGCAGAGGTTGCAGTGAGCTGAGATCGCACCATTGCACTTCAGCCTAGGCAATAGAGCAAGACTGCATCTCAAAAAATAAAAATAAAAGTAAGAATATTGTAAGTGCTGCTTATTGTACCAGTTCAGAAATTAAGGCAGTTTCATCAGCTGGAAACCTTTCTCACTCCATGTTCTGTGCAAATTTCTGTAAATCCACAGAGCAGGGCATAGGTGGTGTCTCCAGCGTCACTTCCCTCCAAACTCCCCGCTGTGTTGCACTAATTCATTTGTGGCTCATCTCTCTGCGCCCCATGGGTGGGCTGGATGTCAGTCAGCTTGGCGTCTTCACTGCCTCCTTTTGTCTCTCCTCAGCTTCCAGCTGTTTTTCACATGTAGTGCCAGATGAGAGTCTTCCAGTGGCAGATGCCCGTGCAGGGCCTGGAGGATAGAGGAGGAGGTG